GCTCCTCCAGGCTAGAACTTCTCCTTGGTCCACTGCATCCTCTACCCACACTACACAGACTTCAGCTCACATCTACTCCAAGAGGTCAGCCCCATGGGGCAGGACCTTAGACACCTCTCAGTTGCTTCTCATCACCCTCTTATTAAAGTGGTCAAAGGGCCCGGTGAGATGGCTCAGTGGAATAAGCACTTGCCTGGCAAGCGCAGGGTCCCGAGTTCAATCCCCGGTTCCGCAAAAAAAAACAAAACAAAACAACAACAAAATAAATAAAGGACAATAACTTAGTTTTAAAAAACACATTAAAGTGGTCAAAGACTCTGTCTCCTTCCCTAACATTCACATCAGCCCCTTAACACAAAGCTGTACAGGGACTTCAACAATATGCAGTTCAGGCTGGTCTTAAGCATGATTTTATAGCCCCCAGGCTTGTCTCCAACTCACAGCAATCCTCCTGTCTCATCCTTGTGAGCGCTGGGATTACAGGCATGTGCTACCTACCATGCTTGCTTTGTAGGTCTTTACCTCAAAGATTTTTTTTTCATTTTAATGGTTAAATAATATTCTTTTTTATTTTACAGAAAAAATAAATCATAAAAACAATAGTATGAAAGTTCAAAACAAAGCATGCACACTCTTCGTAAGTGAAAGGAAGTCTCCGGAGGTGGAGAGATTTGGGAGAGGAAGCATTCAGGAGCAGGGCAAGGGTGCTAGTGCACAGCCGTGGCCAGGTGGGGGATGGGTCGCTTGAGCCCAGCTCTCAGCTGGCTCCAGTCTTCACTGCTTACCTCGCCTGTCACCACGGCCATCTATAAGCTGCTGCTTCTCTGTCCATTGGAAGCTGGAAAACAGCTGGAGTGATGCTGTCTTCAGTCCAGCGGGCCATGGGGAGGCGAAATGTGGTGGTCAGCACATCCAGGTCCTGGTGGGCAGGATGCAGGCTGAGGTGTGGGGGCCCTGCGTGTGCCTCCAAGGAGGCCTGGCTCAAGTCGAGGATTTCTAGAGGGCAGCCTGGGAGATGACTTCCTGTGAGATCAACTCACTGGTGCTGAGGGGGCTCACCCAGTGAGGAGTGGACTTGCCCAGGGCCACCCCAGGTGCCTGCCAGGAAAATCTCCCCTTGTAGTTTGAGCTTCACCAGCTCCCACCCACATGGAGCCCCCCTGGCACCAGCCTTTTCAAGGTCTCCCCAGGTTCCCCAAGAGCAGTGGGAAGCCTTCTCAGGAAGCTGCTGCGGACCCCGTGAAGGCTCAGGCCATGTGCACAGTCATCCCGGGTCTTGGAGGAAGCGACCCTGAGAAACGTTTGTGCTCCTGGAGGTCTCCACAGATGAGCAGGGAGCCGCAAAAGCAGCCTCCAAAATGCATCTGTGGTTGAAATGGACCAGTGCATGGCTGATGGGGTCGGTGCTCTTTGCAGCCCCACCTGGTGGACGCAGCTCACTCCCCTCCTTGCCAACCCCCTCCACCGCCTTTTATGGTTGGGAAGAGGGAGAGGTGGAAAATGACTTGCACGAGGTCCTATCTACTTCTTTCTCATCTGTGTTCCTGCTCTTTCTGGGCGGAGTAGCAGGTAGGTGTGAGGAGTTGGTGGGGGCTGGGCAGGGACAGAGGCTGGGCGGAGGGTGGAGGTGGCTGAGACATTAATACCCGCAAGTGCTACTGTTGCATCCTGCGGTGGTTCTAGTTTCAGTTTTTTGAGGAATCTTCATATTGTTTTCTACAAAAACTGCCAATTTAAATTTACCAAGAGTGTATAAGTGTTTTCTGCATTTTTTATTAGTGCCTGTATGTTGTATATGGGTTTAATATAGCTGCCTACATATACTTGTGTAATTCTCTCAGTACCTAGTATCTCCTATCCCCTCCTCTTTTGTGATACTCCCCCATCTACTTTTGTATCATCTTTTTATTTTTATTTTAAGTTTTAGTACAGGGTCTCTAGGGTCTCACTACACCGATCCAACTCGTGGTGATCCTCCTGTTTTCAGCCTCCCAAATGCTCTTCTTTTTTTCTTTTTCTTTTTCTTTCTTTCTTTTTATAGTTTGGGAGGGCTTAGAGCTGACTTTGTAGCACCATTTAGCTTTGAATTCACTGCCTCCACCTCATAAATCCTGGGATTACAGGCATGTACCAAGGCACACAGCACTCGCTTGTCTTTCCATTTATTGTTTTATTTATGTTTTAGAGAGAATAAACAATAATAGCTACGACATTAGAAAGGAGGCACAGGGGCTGGTGAGGTGGCTCAGTGGTCTAAAGCACCTACTTAGAAGCTCAGCAAAGCAAAGGACCGCGGTTCAATCCCCCAGCGCCACATGCCAGCCAGCCCCGCCCCCTGGTGGGCTGAGCTGGCCACACACACACACACACACACACATAAATAAAATTTTAAAAATAAATAAAAATAGAAAGGAGGCACAATTTCAAAAAAGATAAAATACATATTCACCAGGGGTAGTCACGCTGCACACTGTTGTCGCCGTGTAGTTGAGCAGATTACCAGATGTAAGCACAAATTGGTCAAAGTACAAATTTTAAGCTTTAACTGCTAACTTCAAAAACATCACTGAGCTCTAGTAGCGCAGGCTGGGCCGCGCATATTGACGCATGCGTTTTACCCTTCCTTTGCCCTTTCTTTTCTCCTTTCCCCCATCGCAATTGCTCATTCCTTTTGCTCGGTTTCCCTCTCTTTTTCTGTCCCTGCTGCCCATTTCAGATTTCACTCCTCCAGGTTCCCACATTAGGGAGGCACCAAGTGTAGAACGTTTACCGTGAGGGTCCGTTTTACGTCACGTATGAATATAGCTTCTACTTGCCCCCGTTTACCTTGACCTACAAAATCCTCACGTGTATCTTTCTTCATCTCAATGGCATTAATTTCTGCTCACATCTTTACAATTTCCTCCCTTCTCTGTGCTTTGGGAGTGACTTGCCCGGCTGGTTCTAGAAGAGTGGGGTGCAGCATTAGGACTTTTTTTTGTTCTTATTCTGCTTTCCTAGTGTGAGACTTCGCTGCTGTAAGTTGCCCTCTGAGAACTGCTTTCATTGCGTCCCACAAATTCTGGTAAGCTGTGTTGGACTTTATGTTGGCCCCCTGAAGCCCTCTTCACCACCAGAGCCTTGGATTCCTCTAGGGTGCCTTTCAGCCCATCGTTGGCCCCTTTCCTATTCCCCATCGCATTTGCCTGGTCCCATGGCCTCCTCACCACGTCAGACCTAACCCAGCCTGACTCTTGCTCTTCCTCAGTGGGATTCATCCTCATGCCCCGCGGGGTCCATCTCGCAGAACTGCTGTCCACCGAACCACCTTCTCCTTACATCCTTACACACTTACCCCCCACCCCCACCTCACAGCTTCCAGCAATCCCACTTCTTGCTCCCTCAGGCTATGCTTCTCAGGGTTCACCCAGGGTCAGGTCCCCTGAGAGCCTTGTGAAGCTCCAGCTTTGCAGAAGTTGAATCCCAGGGAAGTAACCGTATTCCCTGTTTCCAGAGGGTGCCCTCCTTCCCGGCAGGCGCCCCTCACAGACAGAGAACGACAGCTCCCGTTTCCTCAATCCTGATGGCAGCAAGCCTTTGGAAATGCTAGTCGCCAGATTAGTGGACCTGCAGATGTGTAACAACTCTAAAGAAGGGACAAGACGTGCCCTGTGATTTCTGTCCTGGTCAAAAAGCAGGACCTTGTCCCTCCATAACCATTCTGAGAAGGAAAAAAAAAAGAATCAGCGGAGCATCTTTCTGTTTCACAAGAGCTCTTTTAGTCTAGGGTCTTGGGTACACCCAGTGACAGAAAGGGACCCGGCTTTTCAGGGGCCCCCAGTGGAGCACAGGGAATCCTTGGTGGATGAGATCCCAGTGCCTGGTGCCTCCTCATAGTTTTCTCTCATAATCTGCAATGGGCACAGGAATGACACCCAGGCACCCATGTAAGCTGATGTAGCACACAGCATGTTCCCACCCTGTGCTTGGTTCACCAAGAGGTCCAGACCCAAACTTAGACCCCAAATGTGCCTTCAGGTAGCCCCCATATGTGGCAGAAACAGACCCAGTGGCTTGCTGCTTCTCTCCCGTGGTGCCCTGTCATTCACCACTTGGGAGTTTTTGGTTGCCACAAATCAGAAGGGAAAGCAACACCTCTTTCGCCTATTAGTCAACATCTACAGCACAAATCTTTGAAGGAGTCAGAAGAAAATAGAGTACTACCTCCTGTGTTCAGAAAGTATCAGAAAGGCTTTACCCAACCTGCTGGCAAACAGGTGGGCAGCCAGGAAAACAAGTCCGTTTTCAAGCTCCCAGTGGATGTTCTCTTCTCTAAGCACAAGGAACAAGTGGCGCAATACCTTCATAGAAGACACACATCAGCTGCCCCCTCAGGTCACCTATCATTGCACAGGGAAAGAGATACTGAGATAAGGCAGATCAGAGACAGCTGTGGGCTTTAGCAAATCTGTTTTCAGAGAAGGGAAACCAGGCCATAGAAAACCACAGGTGAGGGCACCCAGAAACCAGGTTGGAAATAAACAAGTAGTGACCAGGGCAAGGCTTGAGCCACCTGTCCCAGGGCCTGCAAAACTCCACAGTGAATGCTGAAGAGGTAGCAAAGGAAGGGGATAGGGCTCTCCAGAAGTTATTTGGCCAGCAATCCAGGCCTCAAGAGGCTAAAAGGCCAGGTGCAGTCTAACCAAGAGGGAAGTTTGAGCATGTTAGGGGCAGAATCCCTAAGGTGGTTAATCATTCATGATGCCTGCTAACCTCCTGGAATCACAAAGCCTCCATGGAAACTGGGAAGAAACCCTTGTGAAGGGTTCACAGCTTGGCAGGAACCCTCAGAAGGTGTCCCTCCTAGATCCTGGGACTCAATAGGTGCTGGAAGCACATATGAAAAGGTTCTGGGTCAGGCGCAGGTGGGGTTCAGCCCTGCAGGTCATCAAGGTCATGTGTAACTTCAAATTAAACCTCACACGAGCCCCCTTGCTTCCACAGCCTGCCCTGAAGTCCTCAGCCTCAGACATCACCAAGGCTGATTCCACCTGCCAGAATATCAGTTTCCAAGGGGAACCATCACAGAAAATTCCAGGAGAGAAGGTCAGTGCCACTATTTCAAGTGATGTTTCTCAAAACACAGAATCCTCTCCCAGGGAGTGCACTCAGTGAATAAAGACTCAATAAGGTAACAAGGGTGGGCTCTCAGCGGCTGCCCCAACTGGACCAGTGAGCAGCCTGACTCATATGGCCCACATGCAGTGCACTGAGGGCAGAGCCTGGTGGTATCCTCATACTGTCCCAAGGCCAGGGAGAGGTGGCCTCGGTCCAAGTCCAATCCCAGGATGGGCAGTCTGAGCCCCAGGAGAGAGGAGTTGTGGTCTCCAGAGGCCTTGCCCTCCAGGTGTCCATAGGGGAGGTGAATGCAGGATCTCCACTCTCAGGAGTGAGAGACTTCAAGGAGATGGTGGAGACTGAGAAGAAGAAGCTCTGTGGACCCTGATCAAGGGAGCTGGGGTGATGTCAAGCTCCCCAAATCTTAGTTTGAATCTGAGAAGTTACACGTGTCTGGGACTGTCTCAGTTACTCTTCTCTCATTGCTGGGACAAAATACCCAACACTCATAATGAGGGAAGGAAAGGTGTATTCAGCTCACAGTTGTTGGAGGTTTCAGTCCATACTCAGCTGGCTCCAAGGCACAGGGGCATATGGCAGAGGGCAGCAGCTCATGGCGATGGCAAAAAGCAGAGAGCGAAGGGAGAAGTAACAGCAACAATGGCAACAGAGCGCAAGTCTGTCTGTCTGTCTGTCTTATGTTACATTCAGACTATCCGCCCCAGGCTGGGTGTAGTACTCACACCCATAATCCCAGTAGTACTCAGACCCATGATCCCAGCCTTGGATCATGAATTAATCACAAACTGTAGAACTGCACCTCAATGACTGCATGAGGCTTTAGGGGAGACAAATACACACAAACCATAACAAGGACCCAGTGAAATCCTTCCAACATCCAGAACTTTGCATTGCAGGAGCCATGACCCTGCTGCTTGGGTCCATGGGCAGAAACCTAACCCAAGACTCAAGATCCAGCCAGTGGGGTCTTCCTGCAGCACTCTGCCACCAGTGAGGTCCTTCCACAATGATGCTCAGGAGAAGCAGAGTGGGATTTGGGGGCCAACGCTGCTGAGATTTCGAGAGGGTTCTCCACATTCTGCTGTGCAAGCCACTTCCCCTGGCTGTGCCATACCCTTTCTGAGATGGTCAACCAACTGCCCTGCACAGAAAGCTCCAGAAGAGCCCGGAGGTCAGTGGGCATAGAGGCGCCTTGTCCCCTCTGTGACTCCTATCACGTGGTCTACTTACATAGCTTTGGACAGTGATGTGTGTGCTCCACAGCTGATTTTCTACGTTTTCCCACAAGAGACATTCACTTCAGCCTCCAGAGGAACACCAGTCCTGTCACTGCTCCACTAAAGCCCTTCTGGCCACAGATTTCCACCTCTCAGAGACTTCTGAGAGGAAGGAGAGGGCATGTGTGACCTGGCTTCACATGGGCCTAGGTAAGAAAGTTATTACTTCTTTCTGTGTCTGCTCCCTACCGAGGGCCCCGATGTTGAGTTGAGGGTTCTGGGCTGGGAAGAGGGAGAGGCCACACAGGTGCAGTGGACTGTGAGTGGAGTTTGGGGTGTAAGGACTTGGAGGTCACAGCATGGGGCACCGCAGAAGCGTGGACCGCCTTTGGGCTGCCCGGTGGTCTCCAGGCCCCATTATGTCCAGGCTGCAGCTGGGCCGTTTCTGTCTTCTTTAGCCACCAAGGGAGTCTCCTGCATGATAGCAGAATTTACCAGCTTGTGAGAGATGACCCTGATGACATTGCAGCCAGTATCTGCCAGGGCTCACAGACCAAGGAGGCAGCCTTCAGAGGACAGTTTAGTCACTGGCTCATGCTCACTGCATTCCCAGGCTCCTTCCACTGAGCACCTGTCACCCGTGACCTCAACCCTATCACCAGGTCTGAAGACCTTCTCCGTACCTCTTGGGTCACAGGCATCTCTGAGGGCCTCTTCACCACCAGAGCCTTCTATTCCTCTAGGATCCCTTTCAGCCCTGTCCCTGGTTCCTTTCCTATTCCCCATCCCTTCCTTCGGATCCAACGGCCTCCCCACCACCTCAGCCTGACCCCAGATGGCTCTTCCTAAGCAGGAGTCAACAAAATGCCCACAGGACCCTCCCTCAGAACTGCTCCCCGCCTAGAACCTGTCTTGCCTTCTCCTGTCCCAGCAATCCCACTTCTTGCTCCCTCCAGCTACGCGTCTCAGGGTTCTCCCAAGGTCAGGTCCTCCTGAGAGCCTTGTGAGGCTCCAGCTTTGCAGAAGTTGAATCCCAGGGAAGTAACTGTATTCCCTGTTTCCAGAGGGCGCCCTCCTTCCTGGCAGGCGCCCCTCACAGACAGAGAACGACAGCTCCCATTTCCTCAATCCTGATGGCCGCAAGCCTCTGGAAACGCTAAAGACTGGGGGACCTGCAGGTGTATAAGAACTCTAAAGAAGGGACAAGATGTGCCCTGTGTTCTCTGGGGAACATGGTCACATCCCTGGTCAAAAAGCAGGACCTTATCCCTCCATAACTATTCTGAGAAAGAAAAAAAAAGGATCAGCAGAGCATTTTTCTGTTTCACAAGAGCTCTTTCAGTCTAGGGTCTTGGGTACGTCTGGTAACAACAGAAAGGGATCCAGCTATTTTGGGGTCTCCAGTAGAGCACAGTAAGTCCCTGGTGGATGATATCCCAGTGCCTGGTGCCTCCTCACAGTTTTCTCCCATAATCTGCAATGGGCACAGGAATGACACCCAGGCACCCATGTAAGCTGATGTAGCACACAGCATGTTTCCACCCTGTGCTTGGTTCACCAAGAGGTCCAGACCCAAACTTAGACCCCAAATGTGCCTTCAGGCCAGCCCCCACATGTGGCAGAAACAGACCAAGTGGCTTGCTGCTTCTCTCTCGTAGTGCGCTGCCATTCACCACCAGTTGAAGCCTGGGAGATTTCAGTTCACACAAATCAGAATGTAAAGCCACAGCCTGTTTCGCCTACTAGTCAACATCTACAGCACAAATCTTTGAAGGAATCAGAAGAAAATAGAGTACTACCTCTTGTGTTCAGAAAGTATCAGAAAGGCTTTACCCAACCAGCTGGCAAACAGGTGGGCAGCCAGGAAAGCAAGTCCGTTTAGAAGCTCCCAGTGGATGTTCTCTTCTCCAAGCACAAGGAACAAGTGGTGTGACACCTTCATAAAAGACAACGCATCGGCTGCCCTCCCAGGTCACCTATCCCTGCACAGGGAAGGAGACACTGAGATAAGGCAGGTCAGAGACAGCTGTGGGCTTTAGCAAATCTCTGTGTTTTCAGAAAAGGGCAGCCAGGCCATAGAAAACCCCAGGCCAGGCCACCCAGAAATATCCCAGGTCTCCCAGAATATCCATTTCCCAGAGGAAACGTCACAGAAACTTCCAGGACACAAGGTCAATGCTATTATTTCAGCCTGATTCCTCAGCCCCTCATGCAGCGCACTGAGGGCGGAGCCTGGTGGTGTCCTCGTACTGTCCCACGGCCAATGGAGAGGGGGCCTCGGTCCAAGTCCAGTCCCAGGATGGGCAGGTCTGAGCCCCAGGAGAGAGGAGTTGTGGTCTCCACAGGCCCGGCCCTCTACCTGTCAGTGGGGCAGTGGATGCAGGATCTCCATTCTCAGGGGTCGGAGACATCAAGGAAATGATGGAGACTCAGGAGAAGAAGCCCTACGGACCCTGATCAAGGGAACCTGGGTGATGTCAAGCTCCCCAAATCTTCATGTGAGTCAGAAAGTTACCTGTGTCTGGAACTCAATGAAATCCTCCCTGCACCCAGAATATCTGCTTAGCAGGAGTAAGAATACTCATGCTTGGGTGTCCACGGGCAGACCGCAACCACACGTCTCAAGATCCAGCCTCTTGGTTTGGCCTGCAAGTGTTGGCAATAGCGACATCCTTGAATGTGCTTCATTGATACCCTTCACTGCTCACAGCCAGGCTCTTCCCTACACCTCAGGAGCATCAGCTGATATAGCACATCACTTGCTGGATAGATACTCAAACTCTTAATGAGGGACAAGATGAGCCAGGAACAAAAGGAGCCCAGAGTGCCCAAAACCTTGCACCTAAGGGTCAGCAAGAACAAAATGTTCCGCCCAAGAAGAGAGAAACATTGAGAGGCCCAAGCCATGAGGGAAAGGAAGAACGATTTGTAGGATGGAAGGGCGTTGGAGGGCTGGTTTCCCCTTCTCAGGCAAGGGAAGGAAGAGACACCATGGGGAGGAAGCGCCTCTGCTCCTGTCAGAGAAGAAACCAGCACCTTGCGAAAGCACCACTGAGCACACAGTAAGGAACCTTCTGCAGCGCACGCTGCTCAGTGAACGCAGAGGTGAGGCACGGTTTCTGAAGCAAGCCACGCCCTCAGCAGCCACTACCCAAAGTCCAAGGTCAGGCTCAAGCGGCAGACCCTTCATGGACGTGAGTACACTGAAGCACAGGTGCTCGTGGCCACTGCTGGACAGATCCCGGGAGAGCAATTCGTGCCACACAATGCGTTTTCATCCTCAACGGGAACACTTGGGGAGAGGTTTTCCCACCACAGCTCTTCCCTACCACAGCAGGAGAGAATGATGAGCACCGCGGCCTGTGGCAAAAGGCCAGGCTCAAGCACAATAACCATCCTGTGCATGGAAATTTGAACACAGACAGGGCAACGAATCCTGCTTTCCCACACTGGGACCTTGGGTCCCTAACCGGTCAGCTCCACAGAAGGCCCATGGAGGCCAGAGTGCATTCCCCAGTCAGCCATACAGGGCTTCTCACTACCCTGGGGGAAATCCTAGCTGAGCAGACCAATTCTGTCTCTCACAAGCAGGTCTAGTGTGAGTAAGGGCAGGGTTTCTCTCCTCAGACACGCTTCCCAGTGGAAGATCTGTTCTCATCACAGGAAGTGGCTTCTGTCTGTGCTGTGCTGCGGCCTGGGAAGGTGTGTTGGGTTTGCCTTGGAGCAGCTCCAAGCTGTGACTTAGCCTCATCACCTGCTGTCTCCAAGCTGCATTTCTTGACCCCGCTGTGAGGCACCTCAGTTTACCACTTCCTCCTGGAGGACTCCAGCATGGCCAGAAAATACTGGCTGCATTACTCAAGATCCCAGTGGGGGCAGGAGGAGCCACTTGGTCTCTGGGTGTGCACTGTTAAGAGCAAAGCTAGGGATAGTGAAATTTAACACAATTTTCTTGAACTAATAAAAGGTTTTGGTAACAGGCAGTGCTTTTGGCTAAAAGTGGTTTCTGTCACTCCCCCCCCCCCGTATTTAGGACAGGGTCTACAGGGTCTCGCTACATAGATGGGACTTGTAGTGATTCTCCTATTTTCAGCCTCCCAAGAGCTGGGATTACAGGCATGCGCCACCACGCCCAGTCTCAACTGCCATCTCAACATGCTCTGGGGGGAGAGGGAGGAGATATGGCAGGCCAAGGATCGAACTCCCAGCCCCTGCACTCTGCCTAAGCAGGCGCTTTAGTCTGCGGAACTATCAGGCTGGCCTCTGCCACTTTCTGAAGCAGCTCTTGAGAAGTTTGCCTTCAGTGTCCCCATAAGGCACACAGTGAAGGCTGCTGCCTACTGCCTCTACACGGAGGATGGCCTCGTAACAGCATGGCGGTGTGTCTTCGTCAACCTTATTAACCACGTTTGGCTCTACGTGACTGACAGTTCTTTCTCAATGTCAAACCTCCTCTGAGAAGTTAATGTTTTTGCCTCCACTCTAGGCCCGAAGCAGCCACAACAGGACAGTTGAAAACAGTCATGACATAGTCCTGAAAGAAACCTTCCAGAGGTAGCCAGAATGATGGGGAAAGTATGATTAAACAAGGGAAACTTTTTAGGAGATAACTTTTTATGGTAATAATTTTTAAAAATATAAACATTTACTGTATTTTAATCATAATTCATAAAAGCTTAGTATTTATTGAATAAATGAGCTGATGAAGCAATATGAGAAATGTATATACAATACTGAGAAAAAGGCACAGTCACACAACTACATCGCACTTTTCAGTGTGAGTTACTCAACGCAACAACAAGAATCCCTCTGTATCTCCGGGTTGTGTGTCCAAGGTCCAAGGATTCAACCTGCAACGCAGCCCAAACTTTGAAACAGCGCTGCCTGTCATGGGTGCATGCTGACATTACCTTGTAACTATTCCCTTTGTGCTACAATGTAGCACACATGTGATACAGAATAAGTACTGAGATGCTGTCAGCATTCATGTGGGTGTTGTAAGTGTTCTAGAGAAGAGAGGGCTATGCAGAGCTTATGGGGAAGTACACGTCATTACGTCATTACGTGTAAGGGTGGTGGACATCTGATGGCCCTGTACAAACTGAAAGGAAGGCAAAATTGTGAGCTTCTATGGTGTGATGGTGCCGCCTGCCAAGGTGTACTAGGACTGCTATCTCTGTTGACCTTTCACGCTTTCCGTACATGTGCTTCTGAAGGAGCACTCTCCGTTGACCTTTTCACAACCGTCATAATTTAAAAGGCTACACTAGCACCGGAAATAAGTTTCAGGCAAATGTGGAGAAAGAACAGATTTGCAATGTTAAACAGAACCCGTTTGACTAGGTAAGATGAACTGGGGTAGTCATTCAGGAAAACATCTTTGTGAGGCTGGAGTTAGCACTATGTGCTAAGCACCTGCCTGACAAGAGCAAGGACCTGAATTCAATCCCTGGTACTGCATGCTGTGTCATGCTGGCCACTGAAACCGGGCGTGGTAGCACATGCCGGTAATCCCAGTACTGAAGAGCCTGGGACAGGAAAATCACTACGAGTCCCAGAATTGTATAGTGAGACCCTGTATCAAAAAAATAATAATTTTAGAAGAAGATATTTTTAAAACAAGTTCAAAGATTCAGGTCACAAATCATGTCACCTTACCTAAACAACAATTTAACCACATTCCCTGGATCTGCTGTAGCCCTAGAAGAAGCTCAGATTATAATAAAGGGTGTGCAGCAGCCCAATAGAACATGAAAAGTAAGCTGGCCACATAGAAAAGCACAGAAATCATTTCCTCTGTGTTGACTCTTTCCACTGCTTGGCACAGCTCGATGTCAAGTGGGGTACCCTCAGGTGCCACCTCCCCCTATACGTGAAAAGGAAGGTGCAGCAGATGGCCAGCAGCCTTCAGCACAGACTTCAGCAGTCCGCATCATCAGGGATGCCTGCAGCTGTTCCCATCGGAGATCTCTGTGGTGTGGCCAAGCTTGACCCCTTCTGAAGAGCTGCCCAGGCTCCATCTCCTAGGATCCCTCCAACCCAGGACAGAGCCACAGCACCACCCTGGAGCTGCAGCCTCCACTGTGCTCCCCCCAGAGCCAGAGCTGCTGTGTATCTGCCTGGTATGATAAGGTTGATCCCCACTGATGTTGCTCAGTGATGTGTCCAGAAGGTGACTACTATTTGAGATGTGTAGACATGAGGCAGAGCTCCAGGGAAATGTGGCTACAAGACAAGGTCTCTTTCTCTCTCTTCGACTCTCTCTCTCTCACAGAGAGAGAGAGAGAGAGAGAGAGAGAGAGAGAGAGAATGAGAGAGAGAGAGAGAGTCCCATGTTCCCACCAGCACCCAGCCTGGCTCTTTCTCAGCAGGATTCACCACCACTCCCCGGGGGCCCACCCCCAGAAATTCTCTCCACCCAACAACCCCCCCAGCCCCGTTTCCTTCCCCTGACCCCTAATTTAAAATCTTAAGGTATGGGCTGGGGAGATGGCTCAGTGGAAAAAGTGCTTCCCTGGCAAGCGCAAGGACCTGAGTTCAATCCGTGGTTCTGCCAAAAAATAAAGTCTTAAGGTATTGTCCACCCCAGTTAAAAGGTAACATCTTCATTCTTCTCCTGCTTTCTCCTGGTGCCGAGATAATTTACTGTTCAAAGGTACTCAAAAGTCTCTTGTTCAAGTAGCTGCAATGAACAGATAAAATCCAACTTAAAGATGAAAAAGTGTGCCAGGAATTTTATAAAACCCAAGTGGCTAGTAACGTGTTACAAGAGTATAACATGAAAAAGGACAAAAGAATTCTACACGGGGAGGTGTCGATATGTCGAAAATTTTGTGAAAGATGAAGCTTGTAAGGAGAGTGTTTGCTTGGCTATTCGGTTTCTCTTGTTGGTTCAGGTGGGACCTAAGGTCTGTTCCTTTTTATTTTTATTTTATTTTATTTTTTTAAATATTTATTTATTTATGTGTGTGTGTGTGGCTAGTTCAGCCCACCAGGGGGCAGGGCTGGCTGGCATGTGGTGCTGGGGGATTGAACCGCGGTCCCTGTGCTTTGTTAAGCTTGTTCTAAGTAGGTGCTTTAGACCACTGAGCCATCTCACCAGCCCCGGTCTGCTCCTTTTAAAACATGTTGCTCAGATCTGGCTGAAAGGAGCTGTGCCACTAGGTCAAAATTGCGAATTACTTTCCCTTCATCGTGGGAGCAGGTAGACCAGCAACTGGAACAATCAGCAACGAAGTGGGGGCACTTAAAATCGTGGAACCTGTCAGAAACAAAATCAACTCACCAGCGTCAACTCTACCAAAAGTTAGAGGTGAGAGGCTATCTAAAGAAGGATTGTTTCTGCATAAATGCCTGACGCAACTCTCCCCAGGAATATATATTGAGCCCTGGCTTTTGCATCCTTCATGGGAAAACTGGCTACTAATGATTATTCTTGAATATTTTGCTTTGATTCATGTGTGTACATCTATGTTCTCCGCCTTATTTCTTCCAGAATCCACAGTTCTCAGTCATAGCCTCAAACCAACACCTAATCTTATAGCAGCGGATGTCCCCTGGAGACACCAGACTATGCTGCTTCCTGACGGTTTAAACTGCCACCTCACACTGCCCGTTTCCTCCAGTTTCGTTACTCTTTTAACTGTCTCTGTCCCGGAAGAGGCGGGACTTCGCTTCTTTAAGCACCAATCCCCAAAGAACAAGCCACTCTGCTTCTGTAGATCTGTGCTTCTGCTTCTGCGCCCGCCAAGTTCTCTCCCTAACCACGCGGACCGGTTTTCTTTGGAAGGGAATCTCAGTCTGGTCTTCTAGTGGAATAAAGATGACCGTAGCCTCCAAACCTCCCTCCCAGAGGATGACAGTTGGGAAGTCCTGAAAGGGGATCCGGGGAAGGAAAGCAGAGCCAGGGACACTTCTGAGGCCCTATGCTCGGCACGAAACTGTGATAGGCCAGGGGTTCGTGGTCTCCAGGAGAGGCAGATCAGGTTTTTGTAGATCAGCGCTGCCTGGATGCTGTGGTGGGACCTCCTGGTACAACTGTGGACGACCACCTCACGTCGCTACAGTGCATCAATCTTTGAGGTGATCTGGCCTTTCTCAAAAGTTATGAAGAAGAAGGAGGTTGGGGAGACTGAGGCAGCTTGTAAATGACCAGGTGCTGCCTCCGTGGCTCGCATCACTCTCGCTGATTACATAGCTTTGGACAGTGATGCATGCTCTCCGTGGCTGAGTTTCTACGTTTTCCACAAAGGCATAGTCACTTCAGCTCCCTGAAGGATACCAGGCTAGTCCCTTGACCACTGTAACCCTTCCTGCCACCCCTTTCTGGCTCTTCAGATGGCTGGAGGAAGGAGAGGGCATGGAGGACCTGGGTTCACTTCTGCATAGGCGAGAAACTAACCGCTTCTCTTTGCGTCTCCTTTGTACCAGGGTCTATGGCGTGAGCTGAGGGACCTGGGCCGAGCTCGCAGGGGTGGAAGGTTGGGGTGGGTGTGGCAAGAGCTGTGGGTGCAAGGGCTTTGTAGAGTCTGGCTTTGGGGCACTGGAGGGACGTGGACAGCAACTGTCCTCCCTTACACAGCCTGCCTGACATCCTGTCTCACTTCTCTCCTGGCTGTAGCTTGTGCCTTTTGTCTTACTCAGCAACCTAGGGAATCTCTTTCATAGTAGGATATTTTGCCAGCATTTAGGACCCCCACGGGATGTTCCAACCCTTTCCTGTCAGAGCTCAGCCACCAAGGAGGCAGCCTTCCAAGGATGGTTTTGTCACTAGCTCATCTTCACTGGCTTCCCAGGCTCCTCCTGTTGAGCACCTGACCTCGACCTTGTCACCAGGCCTGAAGAATTTCCCAGGAGGTCTTGGG